ATCGATCTATTTGTCTATTCTTTTATTAAAATTCATACTCTTTTGATTACTGTAGTTTTATAATAAGTCTTGAAATAAGTTAGAGTCAGTCTTCCAACTTTGTTCTTCTCCTTTAAAATTGTGTTGGCTATTCTGAGTCTTTTGCCTGTCCATGTAAATGTTACCATCACTTTGCTGATATCCACAAATTACCTTTCTGGGATAATGATTAAGATAGCATTGAACCTATAGATGAAGGTGAAAAGAACTTAAAACTTGATAAGAAAACTTGAGTGTTCCTATCCATGAATATGAAATATCTCTTTATCTATTTGGTTCTCCAATTTTCTTCAGTTTTTGAATTTTCCTTTTATAGATCTAAGTACTATAGTCTAACTACTATAGTCTAAGTACCACTAAGATCTATCATCTAAGTACTTCATATATGGTGGCAACTGTAAATGTTTTAGTGTTTTCAATGTCAAATTCCTCTTAGTAATTGATGGTATATAAGAAAGTGATTGGGCCGGGCGCAGTGGCTCATGCCTGTAACCCCAGCACTTTGGGAGGCCGAGGCGGGTGGATCACGAGGTCAAGAGATCGGGACCATCCTGGTCAACATGGTGAAACCCCGTCTCTACTAAAAATACAAAAAATTAGGTGGGCATGGTGGCACGTGCCTGTAATCCCAGCTACTCAGGAGGCTGAGGCAGGAGAATTGCCTGAACCCAGGAGGCAGAGGTTGCGGTGAGCCGAGATGGCGCCATTGCACTCCAACCTGGGTAACAGCAGTGAAACTCCGTCTCAAAAAAAAAAAAGTGATTTACTTTTGTATATTAATTTTTATTTGCCAACCTCTTCATGGTTACTTATTATTTTCAAGAGTCTTTTGTTGATTCTCTAGTAGACAATCATGTCATTTGTTAACAAAGACAGTTTTATTTCTTCTTTCCCAATGTACACCTTATGTACTTTCTTGTCTTACTGAATTGATGAGAACTTCTAGTACAAAACTGAAAAGGAATGGTGAGAGCAGACATCCTTTCTTCGTTCCTGGTCATAGCAAAATAGTTTCTAGGTCTCATCTTGGCAGATTTTTCTTTATGTTTCTTCTGACTGGGATTTGCTGATCCTGTTGGATATGAAGGGTTTAGCTTTCATTAACTATCAAAAATTGAGGGCTGTTATTTCTTCAAATACTTTTTTCTTCTGTTCTTTTTTCCCTGTCCTTTGGGGATCCAACTATAGCTATATTGGGCCACTTAAAGTTTCCCAGAGTACACTTTTCATTTTTCCCCAGTCTTTTTCTCCATATATTTTGTTTTGGATACTATCTACTACTACATTGAGAATTCACTTATCTTTTCTCCTGCAGTGTTTTGTTTTTTTTTTTTTTTTTGCTGTTAATTATATGAAGTTTATTTATATGACTTTTCTTCTGCAGAAATTTAATGTATGTCTTTTTATATTTTTCATGTCTCTCCTTAATATGCAGCTTCCTTCTTCAACACATGGAATAGAGTCTTGTTAACATTCCTGATGTTCTTATCTACTTATATGTCCTCTGTGCCACTATTGGTTTAGTTTCAATTAACTGATTGTTGTCTTTATTTTTAGATATAGTTCCCTGTTTATTTTCATGGTTGGTAATTTCCAAGTGCATGCCAGTCAGATATTTTTTTTTCACCTTGTTGGTTTCTATTTAGTTAAAACATCGTAGACAACCCCCAACTTAAAACAGTGCAACTTACAATATTTTGACCTTAACAATGGCTTTATCAGGACATAGCCCCATCCTAAGTTGAGGAGCATCTGTACTTACAATGGTTTGACTTACGATTTTTTCTTTATTTATGGTAGGTTTGTTAGGGTATTAAACGCATTTTCCACTTAGGATATTCAATTTATGACACATTTATTGAGATGTAGCCCAGATATAAAACAAGGGCATTGGTACTTTAAATATTCTTAAAGTTTGTTCTAAGATACCACCAGGTTTCTTAGAACTAGTTTTACTATTTGAATCCTTCCTGTTAAGCTTGAAGGCAAGATCAGAGAAGCCTTTGGTCTGTGGTTAATTTTTCCTAACTATAGAACAATACACTTCTGAAACTACGTGTTTTACAAGGTTGTTATACTCTGGCTGTTAGGAATATAACTTCTTTAAATCACCAACGGACCCCTTTTAGGTAAGTGTTTTCTTGAGAGTTGGTTAATTTTCCTACATGCAGATAGAAACATGTACTTAGCTGAAAACTCAAGAGGAAATTCTGTGAATCTCCAGAGTTCTTTCTCTATATGACTCTCTTTTCTCTGTTCTGCTGATTCCAATTCCATCTCTTCAAGTAAGAGAGGCCATCAGGCTCAGTGTGGATTCCTAATCCTTGTGCATGGGCTGAAAACTTTCTCTAGGCAGTAAGATATAGCAATGGTAGCACCCATCTCATCTGTTAACCCTGTCTTAGGGATCACTGTTTTGTGCTTCCTCTTTTGTGTTGCCAGTGTCTAACAACTACTGTTTAAGATGTTTTGGCTGGTTTTGATTTTTATGATGTATTCTCTGTTATTCCATCTTGACTTGAAGTAGGAATCACTTCCTACCCCCATGGTCTCATATATATTCTTTAATATTTTCTTCCATTATCTTCCCCAAATTACTTTTTCATACTGTGACCTTTAATGCACTAGAATTGCAATACTACATATAGTATTACATAGAGACTCCATTTTATTCTTCTTGTCTGTGAACCAGTTTTCCCAGCAGTATCTAGTAATTTATATTTTTCTGTGTTCATTTGTTGCAACATGCATTTGAGTTTTGTTTCCTTATTTAGATGCAGCTGCCTTTGAACTTTCTATTCTTTTCCACTGATGTTTTTTTCTGTTCTTTTGCTGGTTCAACTCTGATTTTTATACTTTGTACTAGTATATCCTTTCTCTCAAATTTTAGGCTTTTCTTTCAATATCTGTTGTTATTGCATTAGTTGGAATCGCCTCTATTGTGTTACATAACAATGATAATAGTGGGTATACTTGCCTTGGTCATGATCTTAAGAAAAATCTATAAAATGTCTCCATAAGCTTGATATTTTATATTTTTTCATATTGCACTAAGGGATAGATACACTGAAGCAGGTGAGGATTACTAAATTGGTTTAAATTTTAAATTCCTCATATACACTTACAACAATAATACTCATGTCAGTGAATTTGAAACAACACCAGTATGGTTCTGAACAGTTCTTGTATTAGGGCAATAGAATATATAGTGTGTATTAATAAACATTAAATACCTCAAGATTAAATGTGTATACCTATAGAAACCACATTTTTTCATACAATTGTTTTCTCTAGAAACAAGGAGACATAAGAAACACTTATTCCAAATATAATAAATTACAAAATGCAGTTTTGTGAGGCCTCTTTGAAATTAGGCAATTTATCTCGTCTCTTTGAATCATTTGTAAATTAAGACTCAAATACTTTATCCAAGAATATTTATAAACATTAAGTATATGAGTCTAAGGAACCTAATATGGTGTATGACACATTGAATATAATGAAAAGGCTTTTATGGCTAGGTGCATTGGCTCATGCCTATAATTATTGCAATTTGGAAGGGTGAGGCAAGAGGATCACTTGAGCCCAAGAATTTGAGACCAACCCTGGGCAACAAAGCGAGACCCCATCTTTACAACAAAATTTTAAAAAGTTATCCAGACATGGTAGGGCACACCTGTAGTCCAAGCTACATGGGGAAGGTGAGGCAGGAGAATTGCTTGAGTGCAGGAGGTTGAAGTTGTAGTGAGCCATGTTCATGCCACCACACTCCAGTCTGAGTGAAAGAGCAAGACCCTATCTCAAAATATAAAGAAACAAATAGTGTTTCATTTCAATAGATGTTTGCTTTTGATTTGTATGCATTCTATAAATATAAGACAGTACTCTGTTCCTACATATAATTTTGCAATGAATCTAAGTAATACATTATGATAATAACTTTATAACATTTCAACAGTGTCAATAAAATCATTATTATTAAAATAATCATATATTTCACTACCATGAACACAAATCTTTAAGTAAATACATATAAATTTACTTAAAATGGAGAAAATTCCATCCAGATGCTTTGCTTCTACAATGCCTCCGGATATTTATTAATCCAGCTTTCAGACTAAACATTATTCCTCATCTAAATGATTAGGAACACACAGACACAATCAGCAGAGAATGTAAAAATTCATTCAGTAATTTAAATTTAAATATATATTTATATAAAATATGTTAAAATGGCATACTTGCAGTTTGAGTTTTAGACATCTCAGAGTTAGAAGATTGCTTTAGTAATTTATTTTGTATAATAAGATTGGTTTTTAAAAAGAAAACAAATAACTTTGGAGATAAAATTCCTAGAGACATTTCTCAACCTATATGTAATATTAATTTTCTTGCTTTCTCTCCCTCTCTCTCTCTCCCTCTCTCTCTATATGTATATAATTTTCATAAATATAAATAGAATATTTATACATTCAAATTTATAAACATTCTATTTAACTAATACTAATTTTATAATGAATTATTTTAAGTAGAAATTTCTACTTAAGACCCTATCTCAAAATATAAAGAAACTTCTACTTAAAAAAGTAGAAATTTCTACTTAAAATAATTCATTATAAAATTAGGATTAGTTAAATAAATGTTTATAATGTTAAATATATAGTTATAATTAATTTAATTATAGTTATAATTAGTTAAATAGAATTAGTTAAGTAGAAATTTCTACTTAAAACAATTCATTATAAAATTAGGATTCATTAAATAGAATGTTTATAATGAAATTCCATAAGAGTACAATAAGGACTTTTATTTGAGTTTGAAAACATAAAACTAAAAATTGATTACAAGACAAATGTTTACCTTGTCTAATTCAATTATGATTTGATACTTCTTTTGGTGGGCAATATCTGGAAAAGTTGCTTAATTTATAAATGACATCGCACATATACACATTTTATCAGTTTATGACTAGATCATCATAAGTAGTCCTTGGCTAGTTACATTGTCATTATACAATTTTATCCTTTAATAACAACTAGCTAAATGTCTTTCCTAATGAGGAATGTTCCTTAGCTCCAGAACTGAGCCACTATTTCTGATCAGTTTACATTAGACTCAGATGTTGGTGATTTGGGAAACTATTTTGTTCTTAGGGATAACCTATTTTAAACAGTATATAAGATGTTTATTGAATATATGTCTAGGAGTGATATTACTCAGTCATAAGGATACATCACTCAGCCTTAATAGATATTGTCAAGCAAGGTTCCAAAAGAATAAGTCAGTAATTCATTTTGAAAAATTGTCAGTTTCCAGTAAAGCTGGACATACTCAAGTACTACAACCCGGTAAATCCACAACTGGTATTTATTCAAATGTGTACCTGAACACCTGTAAAAGAATGTTCTCAGAAGGATGAGGCAGGAGAATCATTTGAACATGGGAGGTGGAGGTTGTGGTGAGCTGAGACTGCGCTACTGCATTCCAGCCTCCACAATAAGTGAAACTCCATTTCAAAAAAAAAAAAAAAAAGAAAAGAATGTTCATAGACACATTATTCAGGTTGGCTAAAGTTGTAAGGAATCCAAATGTTAATCAATATAGAATTGCTAAGTAAACAGTGGTATATTTATAAAATGATGTAGCATACAGTAATAAAAATGCAACTTGAGAAAACAAGTGGATCACTGATATGGTGTTCAGTGAAAGAACCTAGACACAAGAGTGTATGCTGAATGATTCCCTTTATACGATTCTCAATAGGAGGCCCAGCAATCTAATAACAAGCCAAATAGTGGTTATTTTGGGAGATGGTGGTTAGATTCTGGGCTCTGAACGATGGTTATATTATGCAGGACGATTAAGAAATGTGTACATTATACATGTCATAGTTCAATTCAATATAAATTTAAACATAATATGCCAACTATAGGAAATAATTTTCACAGGTAAGGTAAGAAAAGTGGATAATCAGAAGAACAGTAGCGAGAGGATTTCATTTATGAACTTCATTCTTTGGCACTCATTTTCTCCCCCTAAATTCGGTATTTCAGCATTAGGGACTTGCCAGCTTAGCACTTAAATCCTCAGAGATTCCAAACTTCTTGCCTGGGGCTCCTCCCGCTTGGAGGCGGGTAAGGATGGATGTATATATGGACACACACACACACACACACACACACGACTGAGCTCCCCTCCAGTTCCACACAATACAACAGGAACTTCACAAACAAGAACAAAGCTGCAGGAAAAGCACGTTGAGGGTGGCCCCTCGCTAATTCCCAGGATTTCAGCGCAGCCCGCTGGACAGCGCCAGGATGATTTCCGCTACTCTGGGCGAACAGTCAGGCAGGTGCTTCTACTGATCCCCGAGGGACAGCTCCTTGTTCCTGAAAGGCTGTTTTCCGCTAGTTAACCGCGAGAACAAGCCACTGAACACGGAACAAAGACGCAACCGATTTGCTTTTTTTTTTTTTTTAATTAAATTCAGAGTTAGCCGGAGCCGTGTACCCCCTCTAGAAGCGGAGCGCCAGAGTGTGTGGACGGATCCTCTCCCCAGGTCCTGAACTCTTACGGACCGGGCGCTGTGACGCGCGCCCTGCGGGCAGTAAACTTGGAGGGGCGAGAGGGAGGGACATCGATCAAACCCAAATCTTGTCCATTCAGTCCTCAGGTCACCGAAGCGCGTGAAAACTCCAGAGGACTCTGCTTGAAAGGATATCATGCCCCCCAAATCTCTTTCCAACCTCTCGGTGGCCATAGGCACGAATGAGAGCGGTTCTGTTCCCGAGGAGTGGGAAAGGGATTTCCTGCCGGCCTCAGATGGGACCACCGCGGAGTTGGTGATCCGCTGTGTGATTCCGTCCCTCTACCTGCTCATCATTACCGTGGGCTTTCTGGGCAATATCATACTGGTGAAGATCTTCATCACCAACAGCGCCATGAGGAGCGTCCCCAGCATCTTCATCTCTAACCTGGCGGCTGGGGACTTGCTGCTGCTGCTCACCTGCGTCCCAGTGGACGCCTCGCGCTATTTCTTCGACGAGTGGATGTTCGGCAAGGTGGGCTGCAAACTGATTCCGGTCATCCAGCTCACTTCCGTGGGGGTTTCTGTGTTCACTCTCACTGCCCTCAGTGCCGACAGGTAAGGGCACAGGTAGTTGAGGGTAGCGTGGAAAACCCGTGGAGAGGGGCGGGGAGAGAAGATGTGCCGGAAGTGCACCTGCTGGCAAAAGGACACAAGGAAATGTTGGGGGTGGAGAGGAAGAGAGGGAGAGAGCGTGTACCTGGGAAGAAGAGTAAACAGAGTTAAAACGGACTGAGATGTGAGGCTTGGAAAAATATAGGAAAATCACTATGTTTTAAAAAACAAAATTGCATTTAAAAGTGCATCTCCTAGTCCCACCCCTGACACTTAGGGAATACTATTCCATAGAAAACCTATAGAATAAGCTTGCAAAAGAGCAAGTATCCATTGAAGTTTTTTGGTGTGTGCTTAAAATCTTAAAAGTGTGCTTTTTTTTTTTTTCAAGTAAGAGAAGGCCTTACTTACATTTATTAACTGAATTTTGCTATTACTTAGAAGTAAACCAATTAAAATAATAAATGTTCTTTACGCAGATGACTTTTCACATTCCTCTTGTTTAATAACTGAAGCTAATATACGTTTTTCACAGATAGGTACCCAAAATACATCAAATCTCTTTTCACATATGTTAGGGTGTGAAGAGTCCATTATTCTAATTTGCAGATCAACTAGTTCAACTTTGTCATTTTTTCAGATGTGCATATTGAGGCCCAGGGAATGTGATTTCTAATGGAAAACCAGGGAGGAAAGTCCAAGTCTCCTGACTCAGGGTCCACTTAAGCAGAAGAGAATGTTTGGATACGGGTGGGAAAATGCAAAATTAGGTATCTTTACATGCAGCTGTGGTCTAATTCACTTGGGAATGGAGACTGACTCAAGCTATTTAGATAAACAATTTAACTTGGCTAATTAAGGTGGTATTCACTCTCCTCTTTAATTTACACATTCAGTTGCTAATGAAAAATGATTCTGTATATGGATTTCCTGGTATTTGCCATAATACTGGAATACTACTTTGGCATTGAAGAGTTAATCTTCAGTGAGGGAAACACAACATTTGACAGAGACTTGAGAAACTGAAAATGATTCACTTTTTAGTTCCTGCAATATATTCTTTAAAACCACACTCCTGGAAAATTTGGTGCCTTTTGTATAAATTACGTACCTAATTTTGTTTATGTGTCAGCATTTCTATTATCTTTTAAAATATTTTTCTGAATTCCAAAACAAAAATATGACTAGTTTAGCTACCCCTCTTTATACAATCTTATTTTATCTAGAAAGTTTAAAAAACCTACGTAATGATTAGAATAAATCTTAATGATTAGCATCAACAGTAGTTTAAATTACTATCATTATGCTTTCATTTTAAAGAGGTGGCATTGGTAGCAATTATTTCACACCAGTTTTTACAATCTATTGTCATGGTGACACATAATGATTTACACAGGTAAATTTGCTCTGACTAAGATCAGATAAAATAATAATCCTCATATATTTACTGGCTCTTTCTGTTTCATTTGTGCATCATGTACTCTGTGAATACAGAATGAGTAATAATAATGATAAGGAAAGGTGAGATACCTCTTCTACTTGGTCCATAGGCTACCCTTGTCTACTGGTGTGTAGGAAACATAAACTAGGAAACCTGAGTAACTAGTAATGAAATTATGCAATATATTCCATGACTCACTTAAAATGGGTTGGAAATGGTTTGTTATATATTGTCAACACTTCTATTTTTCTTCTAGAACATAGAAATCAATAGTTGGTTAGTACCTGATGACCTCTTACTACATCTCACCAAATGCTGTGATTTCTTGTGAATGTGGAATCAATTGTAAGTTAATTGCACCTAACAAGTGCTAACTTTTCTGTGTGAATTTTCAATCCTCACAATGCTTTGAAATAGGCAGTATTATTTTTAAATTAACAACTTTAAAGCTAAGAAAACTTGAGATTAGAAATTCATCAACATTTTCATGATCTCACAGCTAGCCACTGATGGTGCCAACGTGTTTGAACACCATTTAAAGCCTAAACTCTTCACCATTAATCCACATTATTATAATTATGAGTATAAGAAATTACTAACATTATTTTCTATTTACCAGCAGACTTAAAAGTTGAATTTAAAACAAAGCACCCAAGCATAAAAAATTTGTACAGAAGCTGGTTCATTAGATTTACTACAGTGAAAGAACATCATAAAGTGTAAATGCAAAATAAAAAAGCACCTTGAATTCAAAATTATGTAGTAGTTGCAGCAATAAAAACTATAACAAATAACAAAAACTCTGTTATTAGAGTCTTTAAACAACAAATTCAATTATTTGTGTCATATATCCTATCTTCATAGATGGCCTAAGTGTCTTTGCCAAATAAAATAACAGTAGAGAGTTAAGAAATAGAGATCACAGTACATAGAAAAAAAAACCCAGGAAGATAGGTTTCAGAGAGCATATTCCAATGTGAAGTAGAGACTCATATTCTATACTTAATAATGTCAGCATCATTAGATTGAAAAACACAAATATTTTGAATCTACCTTGAGGCCTAAATCAACTTGTTTGATATGGCCAAAGTGTGGTCACATGACACTGGTATCTGGGATTATTATTATATTTTATTTTTTTTGAGACAGAGTCTTGATCTGTTGGCCAGGCTGGAGTGCAGTGACAGGATCTTGTCTCACTGCAATCTCAGCCTCCCAGGTTCAAGCAAATCTCCCTCTTGAGTAGCTGAGACTGCAGGTGCATGCCATCATGGCTGGCTAATTTTTGTATTTTTAGTAGAGATGGGGTTTCACTATGTTGGCCAGACTGGCCTCAAACTGCTAATCTCAAGTGATTGCCCACCTTGGCCCCCCAAAGTGTTGGGATTACAGGCAGCAGCCATCACGTTCAGCTGGTGTCTGTGATTATTAATCCTCGATGTTCCAAACTCTTCTAAAGAGTTTCAACAAACACATCCCTAGGCAACAGTATTTGTGTATGGCATGAAGTGGTGATAGTGGTGCTCTTAATTTATTATTGTTATTTTTTTTACAGTTATCTTGATAGATGTTTTTCTTATTATTTTGAAAATGTACATTGTTTACTTGGTTATATAAAGTAGCTGATTAAAAATGTCTATGTTCTATGTTGTATTATGTTTCTAACAGTTTTATTCATACACACACACACACACACACACACAGACACACACACGCAGACTCACTCCCACCTCCCAATGTGGAGTATTGGGACTTGTGTGCATCAGGTTGGATGGTGACCCATAAGCCATATTTTGGTGATGGTTGGTGTTATAGTTATCTCTTTCTCTATCTATGAGTAGCTGCATTTGCAAATTTGGAATGTTATTTCTTTGATTCTTGAAGACCTTTTGGTCTCTGATGACACATTGTTAAAATGCAAATAACTCTTAGGAATGGAGTCTTCCTTTCTCCTTCTTAGGAAAAATTCTCACAGATTCCCAGTGCTCAACTGTAAACTTTATAATGTCATGTATTTACAAATAAAAAAATTAGATGTTAATTCTGTTTTCTGGCTTCTTATATAACTATTAATCCAAATACATTTATAAATTAAAATTAAAAATTAAAACTATAAAAGCTATTTAAAATAAACTAATATTAATTTAATGTATTGGGTGATTTTTTTCTGATCCTAGATAGCCAATATTTGATTAAATTCAAAGACAATATTGTACCATATCTGATTAAATTTCTAATGTATTAATAATTATTAATAAAAAAATCCAAGTTTTTTTGTTCTGGTTAGGATAATAAGATTTCATTCCACAACTGGGTCAGTAGACAAAGTTTTGGCTCATTAATATTATTTGTATATCATATCAATGCAAACAGATGTTCTATTGAGTGTAATTATTTGTTAAGATATTGAAATAGATTGTAGAAAGGCCGTGAGTCTAACACTCTCTAGGCTTCATAGGACTTTTCCATCAGTCTTCGTCCAGTGGTGGGAGTAAGTCCTGTTAACTGTTTGCTCCTTTCTCATCAAAACTTTTGACAGAAGATCAGGTTCAGGTTAAGGTTCTTTTAGCTGCCCCTGACTGGAGATGATGCTTTCTTCTTTGCTCCATAGCTCTTGCCTGTCAGTCTCTTAATTGGTTCTGAGATTGGCACCAAGAATGTGCTTCTAACTCTTTTGAAGAATAGTCCACACTCACCCTATGGACAAACTGCTATACAGAGCTACTTGAAATTGGGTAACTTATAAAGAAAAGAGATTTGATTGACTCACAGTTCCACAGGCTGTACAGGAGGCATCGCTGGGGAGGCCTCGGGAGACTTACAATCATGGCAGAAGGGTGAAGAAGCAAGCATGTCTTCACATGGTGGCAGAAGAGAGAGAGCTAAAGGGGAAGTGCTACACACTTTTAAACAACTAGATCGCATGAGAACACACTCACTACCATAAGAACAGGAAGGGGAAATTTGCCCCCATGATCCAGTTACCTCCCATCAGGTCCCTCTCTCAACACTGGGGATTACAATTCTACATGAGATTTGGATGGGGATACAGAGCCAAACCATATCAAACTTGTGACAGGAGAATTTAAGGCAGATTTGTTTTTAAAAAAGATACAAACAAAACACCACAGGACTAAAAAGGGAGGAAATCAGGGGCAGGGAAGAGAAAAGTTGGAAAATATAAAATGCCCCATATGTTCACAAAATGCGAGTCATAGGTTTTTCTGAGACCTTTCTAGTTGCCTTTTCAAAAAGAAAAATTTGCTTTCCATAACAAATGCTCTGTTGTTATTTTTATATAACCATAGAAACAGAATCAATTATAATTTCTGTATGTAGTTTATTAGTTTTAAATTTGAATTTACAGGGCTTAATAAGTAAAGGTTATTATATTTGACTCCAATAAATTAGATATATTTTACTCATTGATCTTGAGCACTTCTAGTGTATCTCTTTCTTTTATACTTAGAAGTAATTTCACACATTTAATGTGAATTCTCATAAAATTAATAATATTGTCATAATTTATATGTTGCTTTATAGCTTTTGAAGATTATTCATC